AGGTACAGGCTCAATACACAAAGAGATTAAATATTAAAAGTAGTTTTAGTAAACACTTGCTGCAGAGGACAGGAACTTTTGAGTGCCGTCTGCAGCTCTTTGCAGACCTGGCAGCTCTTGAGCTGTCGCACAGTTGGAAATTGGGGCTCACTAGCTGCAAAAGGCTTTTACCAAGATGGACCAAAGAGACTGAAAGAGCAAGAGGCTTCTTTCATCCTATCAACATGAACCTGGTAGGAGTGAAGCAGAACACAACCACAAATGACTGGCTTCTATTTTGGTACAGTTTAGGTATGGGACACAGAATGGCAAAAAGTACGGCATTAATAACAAAGAAAGCATCTTCAAACAAGTCAGATGCTCCTATTCCTTTGGAAGTCACTTTCTTCACTATATATATACACACACATACATATTAGTTTCTGCTTTACAATCAGCATTCCTCATACCAGAAGTTTTGTGCTCTTACACTATTCAACATTTTTGTTTGAGTGCAATAATTATGTGGTTAAAAGCAGATTAATCTTATCAAAACAGACAGTTTTCATATCTTCACTCGCATTCCTAGACCACAGCTTTTCAGTGATCCTGTTAACCCATGAAAGGTGTCCAAAGGAACTGCAGGAATCTCTGAACAATCTGTGTTCTTACTCAGTCTTTGACAGCTCTCAAAATACTCTTGAGCCTCACATGGACCAGTGCTGAAAACGCTGTGTAGTTTCTTTTATGTGCACAGAATCAAAGCTGAGACAAACTGCAGCCCGTGAAATTCTACCCTCCCACCCTCATTTCACAATTGAGCTCAGAACAAAAGGGAAAACAGTCAAACAAAATAGCACAGGACCCATTTCCTTTAGTGGACTGCTGGCTTTTCTGAGTAATGAAAGTTCTCCAGGACTGAGCCTTATCTTGGTGAATAAAGACATCATGCTAGTGCAAAGCTATTTAACATACATTAACTTCAGTATGGAGAAGTTGACTGCTAAACAAATTAATTTACTAGAAGAATCAGATGTTCTTCTCTTATTATGTTAGTTTATTAGTGTGATCAGGTATTACCTTTACATTCAGAAGGAATAGGAAATTCAGACTGATTCACAAGATCAAGCTGCTAATGAAACAAAACAAACCACCAGCCATATGCCAAGTTCCCAACAGAAGTCTGTTAAGAGCTTGGTATTCATTTTCCCACAGCACCTACAGTCCCTTTCGACACAGCATTCACACCTTTAATTATGGTTTAAGCTTTAGCATTATCCGAGATAAGCTGTATGCAACTAGAAATTTTCTTGTATAAAAAGATTAAACAACAGAAATAGAGTTTCTTAGAAGTCTTCTGTACTCAAAATAATCACGTTTCTCATGTGGATACACATCAACCCCACTCAATTCTACGGTCCTCAGAACACTTACTTTCTCCAAAATCATACAGCAGCTTCAAGTAATTCTGCAACTCATCTTCAGATTCATGGCACATTATTCTGTCGTGTTTTTTTTAAACAAAGAAACTACAAATTCATTTGTTTTTCTTCTTTTTAAAGGGGCAGATCAGGGAGTCTGGGAAAGAAGAGCAGGGAAGGTGGCAACAGAGACAGAATTAAGAGATTATACAGACTGATAGCCAGTACGACTTTTTCTTCTTCCAATGACATAAGATATAAAGACAAGAATGATAAGGAAGCCAAGTGCCATGCCCACTGCGATGGGAATAAGAAAGTTCAGGTCAGAATCAGCAAAGCATTCTTCGGCTGCAGAAAGAAGAAAAAACAAAAAAGCAAGGGAGAATAAATTAGTAAAGGAAATCAAGCAGTAGAAAGCAAATAAAGCAAGGAGCAAACAGACATTTTTGAGAACTTACACTGTGTTAGATGCAATAATACATCTAAAGCAAAATCAGTATTGAGTAAAGAATTGACAGAAAGACCAATTTCTTTAAACATATATACTACACACATCATTTGTATTGGTAATATACTACTTCCGATTGAAGTTAACTTCACCTTCCTCTAGCGAGCAGTCCACTCAGATTAGAAATGTGAGGACAAAACAGCAGTCTGAGCATGCATTAGCTGATCACACCTCAGAGTTAACAAGCAATACAGCAGCAA